ACATTTTGGTCATTTTTGAAAATCCCTCTGAGTCCCAAGCTGGAAGCACAGCTCAGGGAGGTGGCACCAGGGAGTTCCAGCCCCACCACAGCTCCTGGGACAACCGACAGCACCCCCTGCACTGGTGTGAGGCTTCAGGTCAGGACAGCTCATTGCAGCCTGAACCTCTTCCCGTCGCAGGAGTCAACCATCCAGACTGCAAGACTAGAACTTCCCCAACCTCTATCGAGCATTAACCCATATCCACATCAGCCTTAAAGGCAGTTTTCCAAGGAGCTGGGCTCAGCTCACACTATGGGCACCCAGAGCAGAGCAAGGGAGTCCACCTGTCTCCTGGGAGCCAGGGAATGCTCAGCTCATCCCAGGGGCAGGAACACTCGGAAGACTGGATACACCCTGAGGAAGGGGGAGGACGAAGGGTGTTGGCAGGGACCTGGGACGAGCTGCAGAAGGAGCTGCTGTTGCCATCCCTTGTGTAGTCATTAGGAGTCCTGTGTTCTTTGGCGTTTTGCTGAAGCCTGTGGTTGCAGATCAAGATGTTATCCAAGCCTCTCAGTTTTGCTTCAAAAAACCAGAAAAAGGTCCCCAACCCCCACTGGGTACTGAGAAGAGACCATGACATCGACCAGGGCACAACCCTTTAAGGCTTCAAGCTGGGGAGGAAATAAAATGATCTCAACATGTATTTTAACATTGTGGATATTACTTTAAGTGCTTGTAAATAGGGCTCATTATGCACCACGGCTGCTCTGGCAGCCACGGTACAATCTGTAGAGGGGGGGGGTCCCCAGTTTTGGGGGGCTCTGAGAGGCCCTGTGGCCACAGTGACCAGCGTGGGACCTGCCAGGTTTTTCCTCCTCCTCCTCCTCCTCCTGGGCTGAGGCACCAACAACTGCAGGGCCCCAAAAAATCCCTCTGGGAATTATCTGAGTAAACGTGGGCAGAGGGGGATTGAGAGAAAACGGCTTCGCCCACAATGGGATGCACATTCCCAGCATTTCTGGGAAGCAGGGAGCAGGCAGTGGTTTACCCTCCCATTGCCAAGGTTGGTCTGAGATGAGGGGAGACCCAGACAAGCTGGAGGAATTTGCTTGGAGCGAAAAAGCACCGAGACCAGGCAGAAAACACGTTGCCCTGCAGCTCTGTCCCAGATCTCTTCCTCCTCTCACAAAGAAACAAAAAAAAAACCACCAAACCAAAGACAACAAAAGGAAATATTTCCATTGCTTGGGAGAAGGGAAACAAAAAAAAAAACAACAAAAAAAAGGGTTTTCAGGGCTGAATAAAAGCTGCCTCAGATGGCAAAACCGAGCAACGTGCAGGGCAAAACAGGAAACCTGAGCAAAACCTCATTGAGGCAAGACCCATCTCCAGGCAGGCAGCAGGGCCAGGGCCAGCCACACCCCCCAGCACCTTCACTGGAAACCTGGTGGGTGTCTTTCAGGAATGGGACAACCCTGAGCAGCTGGGGTGGACATCTAGGTAGCCCTCAGGAACCACAGGGAGATATTTATAAGTCCTGCTGGCCCACAGCAAAGCCTGAACTGGGGCTTCAATCCTAGTGGCTGCACCAGCTCCAGGTTTCCAGGTAGCTCCCCTGGGACTTTGCTTGCTTGTTTTCAGCTTGCCCTGAGCTGCTCTGAAATGTTGTGCCAGGCAGAAAAGAAATTCCCCCTTCCAAAAAAAAAGAAAAAAGAAAACAGGAAAAAGAAAGTAAAGCAAAAAACTCACGTGAAAACACAAGAGTGACCCTGACTGGGGCTGCCCCCCTGCCCTGCCAGCTCTACTGGTTGTGTTGGAAACACAGCCAAAAAAAATCCCTTTCTGGATTAGATGCTCTTGATAACAAGGATTTTGCTGTTTTACACAAAGCAAGCCCTGAGGAAACACCCTTTCCCATGCAGACTGGTGCTTTCCACCCTTCAGAGGCCACCAGACCCCTGCCAGTCCTTTCATTTTATCAGTTCCCCAAGATTCATGTCCACCAGCAGCCTGGCTGGGTGCTGGGACCCAAACTGCAGGGATTTGGGATCAGTGGGAGCTCTGCCACCCCAAACCCACATCAAGGAGGAGGGACAGGGACACCATTGGTCCCCTGGGCAGAGGTTTGAGAAGTGGGGGGTGGGAGGGGGGGCAGCAAGCAGGGGATGCCTGGCCCCAGTGTCCCTAAAGGAGACTGGAATGAGAAGCTGCTGTGCTGAGACCAAGGTGTGAGACATGGGAAAGGCTCATGGGAAAGGTTGAGGAGAGGGGAGAGGAAGGTATTATGGGGTGGGGTGGGAAAAGAGCAGAGGGAATTGGGTTTTTTTGCAGGATTTCTTTCTCAAAGTCATTAGCCTTGAGCATGAAACCTTCCATTCACCCAACAAAACCCCCCAGCATCAAGCCCAGCACTGTGCTTCAGCGTCACTAAGTGCCCAGGTGATGTGTGACAGGCTCTGGCCACCAGCAGGACCAGTGGGAACAGCCCCAACAGCCCACATCCCTCACCCTGGGTCCCCCCAGCCCTGTGTCCCACCCTCAGCTCCTCCAAGGGATGGAGCCAGGGCAGGTCACTCCAGGACCAGCCAGCCCACGGAGCCACTGGGGCCAGTTTTGACAGGGCTGATGTTGGCAGGAGGCTCCAGAGATGCCCTCAGGGAAGGGTGAGAGGTTGCAGTGGGTGGAGCAGAGAGTGGGCAGCTCAGCCAAAGCTCTGCTGGCACCACTGACCTCGTGCCATTAATTACTCTGTACAGCTCAATCCTCTACAACTGGCTTGACTAAAACTGCTTCATGGCCTTCCTGATGGGCATCCACCCACCCCCACCCTGTGCACAGGCTGCCCTCACACACCTCCCCAAAACGGTGCAGGATTTGGGTGTAGCCAGGATGCCTCTTGTGCACGACACCTCCCAGGGCAGGGCAAGGAAGGAGGGGAGGTTGCTTTTCTCTTGGCTAAAAATACCTTTTTTTCCTCCCTCCACAACCACACGCTTCCAGTCCAGACCCAGCAGAGTGACTTTCCTTCTGGAAAACCACTCAAGAGCCCAGCAGCCAGACTCAGCTGGGTTTTGGCACAGGGCTGGTAGCCACCACCTCTGGCATGGGGCTGCTTCTCCATCCATCCCTCCCTCCCTCCCTCCACCCACCTCATCCTGAAAACACTGTGCCTGGCAAAGGTACAAACACCCCAACAACAGCCTCTGAGCACAACCTCCCTGCACAGAAAGCAGATTTTGCTGCTGCAAAGCAAACAGAGCCAGGGAGGAGTTTTCCAGACAGCCATGATTTCATCAGAGCCCTGGCCAAGGTTTGGATCCACAGGCTCAGGCAGCAACACCCTGCAAAGCCCAGGTCACTGGGATGGAGGGGACAGCAGCAAGATGAAGCCCCAGGGGGGTCCATCAGAACCTCCCTCCTGGAAGGAGGCACCAGGGACAGGGTTTGGGGCTGGACACCAAGGCCACCTTCAGCACTGGAAGGGAGAGCTCTCCCCTGAGGGACAGAGC